CCGATTTCCGATCCTCTCCCATTGTTTCCACCGTTTTTTTCAGAATCCTTCATTTGGCGCGCTTTTTGCTTGCCTTGATTCCTGGCTGCTTCCTTGCTCTTCCCGCTTCCTTTTCAAGGGACATTTGTTCGCTTTTTGCTCTGCACTCGCTCTTTCTCTTTGTTCAGTCCTCTGCCTGTCTGTCAAAATTTTGTTTTTTAATTTCTTCGTTCATTTGCATTTTGTTATTTAAAATAGTTTGAATGAAACTATTTTGGCAACTCACGGACGAGGTTTCGAGCACTTGGAATAAATTTAAATCAATTCCGCGTCGAAAGGTTTGAATCGAAAGGATCAGTTTGGAAATGTGATATGTTAATGCACTTTCGATTGCTATTAAAATATATATATATTCAATTATTGATAATGATATTTGCTTAATGAGAGAGCAGCGAGGAATTATAATTAAAAGTAAGTGAAATCACAAATATGTGATAGCGAATTAAGCTCATTTGAATTTAAAAATAACAACAATCATATTCAAAACGAAACTAAAATCATTTTTAGGAGAATTTGAGAAAAAATCTATGAAACTTATAATAATCGCTTAATAATCGCTAGTTTTTAAAGTCTCGCTATTATTTCTTTTAAAAATTACTTTAAATTATTTAAAACATAATACGTAAATGTGTTAAGAACACAGAAAAAATGTCTACAAAAACATTTAATAAAATAAAGTTTAAATTAGAACTAATATTAAAACAAATTATCAAACGATAAGCAATCGGTGTTGTGTGATGTTTTTAAGGATAATAAATAAAAACAAACAATTATATTTAACATTAAAGATTAAAAGTAGCAAATATTACTATCTCTATTTTAAAATCATGAATGGTTGTTTCAACTTAACACTATGAAATACAAACTTATTACAAAGATCACTATAACGAAAGAGGAAGGATAATATTGTTCAACTGCACATTTTTCTCTCAGATGACTATGAATACTATCATTGTTGCAAATCGAATTAATGCAGTATCTGTTCCGTTTACAATTCATTTTTACGGCTTAGGAAGTAACCCTTTTTATGATAATTTAAACCAATCCTTCACTGATCCGACAGACGGAAAATAATCTTCGACGTCGATGCAGCAACATCTGATGCAATTCATTCCATTGTGATCCCTGATCCTGCGAGGTGAATGAACCCGTAAGGAATATGGGAAAATGTCAGGGGCCAGGTAACAAACAGATCTTCCTCCCCTCGGCAAGGCGCCTTGTTAAAAAGGAAAAAACGTAGATTTTTACGGGATTTTGTCCCTTCTTTTGTCAACCTTAAAAAAGAAGCTAAAAAGAAGGTAGGCAACCCCGACAAATGTACGCAAGATGCGCAACTAATTTGAGACTCTGAAGGAGGGACAAATGAATTGGGAGCAGATCAGCAACCCCTAATTTGCATGGAATCCTTAAGATCCTTGAGATCCTAGGCCGAAACATACATCATCTGCTCCACGTAGACTGTCACTCAATCAAACAATTTTTCTATCTCTCCGGGCAGAGTGCATTAAGTTCAGATTTCGTTTTCCCGATCATTGCACAATCACGCTCCTCATCTAGCCTTTTTGCACAGTGAACCCGAACCCAAATAGGTCCCTTTTTCCTACAGTTTTTCTGCTTTTTTAATTGCAAACGAGGGGAGGGTTAGCGAAAACTGTAAAAAAATGGTTAGGGTTTTTTGGGCAAAAATAGAAAATATTTGCACGCATATCCCAGCAATTACTTACGGTTTTCTGAACACTTCCCTTGCTCTTTGTTTCTTTCTCTCTAGCAAAAAAAAACAAGAGAGGGATGGGTGAAGAATCATTAGACGTACTGAGGAAACCCTTTTGGGTGCAATGTTTTCTTGATCCTACTGCAACGGAATAAAGCTAATTTCGGAGGAAACCCGCAGTAAAGTTTGTCCTTCCTTGATCTCTAACACCTACACTTCGATCGGAGTCGAAACTGGAGTGGTTTCCCATCAAGTGGCGATCAACCCCGAGCAGCTGCGCGAAAAAAATCGTCCAACCCGCTGGTAGAGGAAAAAAATCTCGTCGAGGACAAAACAAAAACAAATGCTAGACGGCCTAAAAAATAAAAGGGGGAAATTCAATGCCGTGAAAAGGGTAGACGGAGAGAGGGTTTTCGATCCGGACTCTGAAGTTCGTTATCCTTGCCCAAAAATCGTCGAAGGGGGCACAAAAAACTCACACACACACAGCAGCATCTCGTCGTGGCAATCATATTGTCTGACAGCTCGGCGCGCAACTGCAGCGTCAGTGTGGCAGGGTTATATGGTATGGTACATAGTATGGTATTATAGGGTTGCGATTTGGGGTTTACGGGAGGTTTCCTCTAACAATTTTAAAAAACTGCAATGGGTGTTAACTGTCGCTGCGGCTGCGCTGATCCGATGCCAGCTTGCTCATCATGATCATCGTCATCATCATGATGACTTGGCAGAAGATTGATCTCGTTGAAATCAAAATAATGAAATTTACTTCCGCTTTGTTTCTCCCTCCCGTGAAATTTAATATGGCCTGTTAATGAAATTTTCACAATTTGTAGAACCGCTCCCCCGATGATAATTATTGGTGGGGGAGTTGCCCTTGATTACCAATTCAAGGATGCTATTTCATATAGTCAAATAGTTTTCGAACTCAAAACGGGATCTTGACAGACAATTAAAAACGTGACTTACTTCCGTTTTGTCTATGTTGCATGATTTGTGTAATAGACGTTAGGGAAATGTTGTTGTTAGTTTGTGAACATTTACCTGCATCAGAAAGAAGTACGTACATTATTAGCATACAGATTTTAACCTTTTATTTCGTGAGTAATTGTTTCTATGGATGTAGTAGTAGGATTATAAAGTCAAGAGAGTCCTAAAATATTTAATACCAAAGGTGTTAAAAAATCAGTTACCAATTTATAAAGTAAAGATTAGTGTTTCATAGACGACTTCAAAATGACTTCTTCAATTACTCCCAAGTATAATAATGTTCCTTAGGTGTTTTATTTGATAAAAATATTCTTATTCAGCCCACTAAGTCTACATGTATATCGAACAGATTTAAGTTATTTTTAATAAGATAAATTCTTTAGAGTTTATAGAGTTAGCTCGAAACAAAGCTCGGGGAAAAAATGACGAAAACTCAAAAATTTGATTATGGTTTTTGTGTTTGGAAGTATCATTTTTTGTTAATTTGTAATATTTTATTGTTATTGACATTAACTCATAACTTGTATACAGCACTCCCTATTTAGATAAAAAAGTGTCTACCCAAAAAGTTTGTTGTGTCATAACGCTAACCAAATTAATAACTTATATTTAATATTTACTCAATTTAATTTTGTATCTATCTATTATTTAATGAATATCTAGAAACTTTATAACCAGTTTATACAACATAAATGCACACGAAATGCATTATGTAACAGACTGTAGACCTCTCTGATCGCTTTTAGTGATAGATAATAGTTCGAATTGCGAAAGTTAAAATATTGTAGATTATTAAAAATACTTTTATAAGCTACTAGTAAGTTCACCCAAACATCCAAACACATTATTAATTTATATTAAATTTCTTATATGTTATTTACTGGTTTTTCTTCTAATCCTGTTACTTATTAATGTATTCAGGAATTTTGGGCTATGCAGTATAGAAAGAAATCGATTACCGATAAAATTTCACTAGTCTATTGAACTGTTTACAAAACGAATGCAACGCCATCTACCGTTGATCGGATGAACTAAGGTTATACATTTCATTTAACCCAAGACTCAAACCAAGTAGTGAGCTCATGTCGAATTGCATGTAAGCTAAATGTAAATTATACAGGCGTAGTAGGAAACATATTAGTACCAATTCAAAAAGGTAGCATGGTATAAGTACCAAAAATATATTTTGTACTCATCCCTTTCTGCTAAAAAGCAATAAATTTGAGTTACGTTGAGTTCTACGACATCATCTCACGAAAAAGTTTACCTTTGAATTATATTATTAGTTCTTATTCGGAATTTGAACTTAGGATGAAATAAAATAAGATAAAGTATTTCTCGAGACTATTCTCCGCGAAAAACTTTCATCATCTGGCGGCAAGTGTCAACAAGTCGTAAAGCCAAACAATCTTAACGCCATTCCCACCATAAACAACCAAAGCCGCAGGTGACGTCACATTTCGTATTCCATGAATGGACTTTCATCAGCAGTGGTAAATGGGGGAAAACTACTATACTGCACGGCACGGCAGTGGTGTGAGGTCAATGAGAGAGGTGTAAGAGGTAAGGTCATGACTAGTTGCAGGCAACCCCAACAACAACACAACACGAATGCCCACATTCCCACCAGATTTACAGTAAAATGTACGTTTAATGGATTTTACTATGATACATTTTGTTTGTTATTGATATTTAAAATTATACTAAAAATGGGAGATAGCGTCCTATTATCTAGTATGCCACCCTATGTTCTTGCATTAACCCATTCAAGGTACCTCATAAAAAAATATTGTCATTAGGATGATGTATCTGACAAGATATTTGGTTGTGAAATAAATACCAACTTAAAATAATTACCTAATCTTGAAATGGTATTTAAAACAGTGATATAACGATACGAATTAATGCGAGATAATCTCTCATTGCCTATGTTAAGCTATTCTATACACAAAATTCATCCAATAGGTAATCGACTTTCATTTAACGATATTAATATTTTTTTTTTAAAAATTAAGGACATTTTTTAAAATTATTAATCGATTGATAAAACGGGGTTCTACTGTATAAACTTCGTTCTCTCTCGATGAGTAACCGCTAATATTTAACCGCTCGCCGGCGCTCTATCTCTCTCGCTCGGCCCACAGACAACTTATTCGACTTATCAGATATTTTCTTTTGTCCAGGGCTTAATAGAGAGAGAGAGGAGAACGCGAAAGAAAATCGTTTGGGTTTTGGTAGCATTCGCAAATTAGTCGTCGAACGTTAAGCAACATATTCATAAAAAGTTGTCTAGCAATCGAATAAATAGATGTTTTTCGTCGCGCTGGTACGAAGTATGAAATAATCGCTCTGCGTGTGTGCTACCAAAGAAACCGATTCTTTAGATATATCTAGACTATATAGTATAGATCCATCATGGCTACCGAAACAACGAAAATGGTAAGTTTGATTTAGAGCTAAAGTAATTACTTGTGATTAGTATTTCCTGCCGAGGGAATTTTGGGGATTTTGGGAACGTGGCAACATTTCCACACTTTCGGTTAATTGCTTTTCTTTGACCTTGAACCTGCTTAAATGCCGGGCAAACCTCTCAGGCTTTTAACGGCTTTTCGTAACGAACATTTAAGATTCGAATCGGATCACCCGCTAGAAACATGGTTTGACCACAAGTAGCGCGTGGCATTCGAGTTAGGTAAGCGAGTGTTATGCAAACAACATGCTAAACCAATTATCACTGTATCAGTGATAGACACTGTAGATGTTAAATTAATTATGAGATCACTCGTCTGATTGTTTTTCGGATCAACCTTACTCATCGATGGCGTGTCTTGAGATTAAAAAATATTTTCAATTCCAAAGATACTTCGTACTATATACGAGTATATAGACACTTCCAATCGCTTTGCTCTCTCATACAGCAGCTCGATTGAGTGCTTAATCTATCAAGTGTCGTCACACTGTTTACACACCCACTTAACAACCCATGACCAGTTTTTATTGTTGTTCTGGTATGATATCTCTCTTCATTTCCCTTATCTGTTATCTAACCAAAGAAGCGCATTTTTGTGCCAAATCTTCGGAAATGACGCTGTCTTCTGCCCTCTCTTTCCAACTCTCTCGTGTCTGCTTAACCACCTGACTGAAAAGTTAAATGACGACACCGAAAAATAACAATATGTACGAAATTATTCAGATTCAGCAAAATAATTACCGAGCAGCTGAAGTTTCTCAAGGCAATTAATGGAAAGGCTTAAAAGGCTTAACTGTTTTTTTTTGCGAACCCGCCCAAAAACCTTTTTTATTGAAGAGCAAATTTACACACGTGCGATAAGCTAAGCCTGGGATTTCCAGAAGCGCGAGGATTGTAAACAGACTTTATGGGACCTGGAAATTTCAGTTAAGTATTTGGACAGAAGCGAGTTGAAATGTTAAGGCAGGGGTTTTGATTCAGCTAGACCTTTAGATTGTAATCTGTTAATGTAGTTATCTTGATAGATTTTTACATAAAATACAGACTATAGAACTATAAATTATAATATGTAAGAGTGACCTTCCCTAGATTGTGCTTCCATTTACTTTATCTCGTTTGCCGTACCCCTAACTGATATCATATGTAAACAATGCTTTATTGACCAGCCGTAAATCAAGTTAATGAACTCCTTTTCGGTAATGAATAAACATAACTAGATAAAGATGATAAATTTATGAAACGTTTCAGAAACAATTGTCCACCAAATGTCAAACCCATTTTTCTGCCAAACGGGTCCAAAGATCCAATGTTTACTATACACTCGGAGTTCAAAATCCAAAACAAGGGTAATATCTGCATTTTATTTCAGAGTACTTTGCAGATATTTTTAGAAACCTCAAGCACTTTGCCTCTCTGGCATTTGTTTACTCACATTTTGGCTATAATCTCCATGTTACCTTGAAGAAAATTCGTTTTGTTTTGCTTGTTGTCCCCGCCCCCTCACGTGACATGGAATGACGCAAAAGGAACAACAATTGCAGACGTAGATCTAAAAAGTTTATTTCGATATATTCGAAAATAATATACGCGTTCAATACGCTCAAAAATGTGGCTGAACTTTGCAATGGAATTAATTATCGGCGTTACCTAACATGACAAATAAAAATGAATATTATTCTCATCTCGGTTCTTAATCGATTTGCATTTTATATCATCTTTATTTATTTGATTATGCTACAAAGTGATTAAATGTGGGTCAACGCAATCTGAACCTTGATTTTCGGTTTGTTTTGCTTTGGCCAAAAAAAAGAGATAAAACAAAACAAGTTGCAAAAATCTTGAGTCAAAATTTATTGACCGGAGTGGAACTGGTTTCGCTTTAAACTCAGGGGGGTTTCCTTAGTGAGAGCCCGTCTAAAGATCTGTTCAAACTTCAACTTGCACGTTTCGTGTATAAATGGTCAAGCAATTAATGGCCTAATATGGTGGAGTGCTGCCAGGCTAAAATAAGAAAACAAACTGGATTGGAAACAGCTTTAATTCCTGAATATATTACGGGAATTCCAATAGCGAAGCAGGTACTCAATTTAGCCCTTTGTAAGTTAATTGCCAGCAAATAAGACTAATTAACAACTGTTTAAAGAACTTTTGTGTAACGTAAGTCGTAAAAGGAAAACTAAACAAACTTTTTAGAGAATTCCCTATATTGTTATATATATTTTAGTATTTGAGCATTTGCCTTAAGCATTCAACTTTACTATGATTAATTAATTCATTGCATTTCATTATCGCCTTCCGTTTGCGTTGAATTAAATTACATTTCATCTCACTCAATGCAATTAAATGATCTCACTCGAGGCATTTGCTATGAAAAGCGGTCCGCATATATATATTTTTTATGATTCATACATATATGTATATGGACATTTTCTTATTTCTACAATAAGATCAATGAAAATGCTCTGGTGTTAGCTTGGCGCCTGCCTTTGATGCAATTATCTCCTTCCTGGTGAAATTATTTAAGAGACTTTCTGGCCGGTTCTTTAAAGGTCTAAGTCTTCCTATTGATTTTCTGAGTTCCCAATGTGTTCTAGTCGAATCGTCCTTGTTCTCAATTGGATCGATCTAATCAAAAATTTATGGTCATTTTCTATCCGACTTTGAAATTTGTTCGCGTATTGATTTTAACAAAGTGTGGGTTGGTTTTGTGTGGGTCTGTAGACAGTGAAAAATATATTCAAAATGTTTTAATGTTCGTTTTTTTTACATTATCATGTCATACCTGGAAATTTCTCTTAGCTTTATAGTATTTAAAGCTTTTACTTCTTTATTTAATGTTGATATAAACTAGATAATGTAGCACAAAAATCTATACCGATTTAAAAGCTCTTTAAAATTGTTCGGTTTCTGGTTAAGATTCCTTTTCCAATTTTGTAAGTTTTTCAGCATACTTTTATGTGCATTCTTAGATATTTTAAATCAACGTTTTTTGGTTGGTAGACTTAATATAATTTTATACTTCTAATCAAAGAATGTTAACTAGATTTTTCCAGTGTTCCAGAGGTCTTGACAACACCTATTCAAATTTAATGTTAGGAACCTAAGAATAGAAGTAATTTCACCACCTTCGATGTTTCAAGAATATTAAAGTATCTAAGTGGAGTGTGCCGCGCTATCTTAACCGGTCACACTTATTTATTTTTATCAGCTTATAGGAAAACCCCCAGGGTGGAGCATGACAGATACAGATGATAGAACACTTACACGCGGCATGAACAGGAAGAGCTCCAAGTCCATTTCGGCAATCTATGACAGTGGCAGCCACTTGTCACATTCATATCTTTTGTACTTGATGTAAGCTAACTGAAATGTGAGCAGGCAAGCAGGTTTCACCTCGGGATTGCGTTGACTTGTTGAGTATTTCCAGTGGATTCTGGACCTGTTGCCGACTTTCACCCAGTGAGTCGATGTCCCTCCCCAAATGAGAAAGTTGCACTTCAATTAACCAGATTACATGGGCCGTATAAAATTGATGCTTAAACATCGTAAGGAATCATCTGAGATGATTTAAATTTATATGATTTATCATTATTGTAACCTTTAAGCTAAGGCTTGGGAACAGTACATATAAGAAATGAAAATATTAGGGTTAGGTATGATTTGGTTGGACATTTTATGGAAGTGCTTTATGTTTTCCAAAAAACGGATTGTATTCTTTTAATGTATTTTATTGCAGGTCTTTGAACTACATATTTAATATAGAGTAGACTTGCATACAGATGTATGACATATGTATGTATGTATGTATGTCAATTAATTACACTTAACTAATTACAAAACTCCAAATCATAGTTTTGGTTACATTTGCCAAGGGATTTGAAAACATTGGATACTTCCTGGTCTGCAACAGGTGTGCTAGCGCTATTAGAGTTTTCAGGTGTCGGCTGGCCAATTAGCGGTGCTGCAAGGCAAGTTGTCAAGTATGCTCTGCATTTTACAGCAGTTCCCGTTTGAACGGTCTAATGCTCCATGTTTCTATTTTTGTTTTTGTCTCTGTTTCTGGTTACTTGCTCGCATTTGTTTTCTCGGCTTGCACATGGCAACGGGTTTCTCCTCCCCTTCGTTTATATCAACACTCTCTTCTCTCTGTTTTTGTGTCTGCCATCACGTCCTCTCGATTCTATTCATTTCTATTCGTATTGTGTTTTTTCCTGTTGCTTCTCGTCTGTTGCAGTTTTTGTTTTGAGATCTCCTTCGTCTGTCTGCATTCTTTTGTCAAAAGTGGACTCGTGATAAATACCTGGTCGGGTTTGTGTCAGGAATTATAAATATGATAACGATTAAGAAACAACAGTTTTTAGTCATTTAAGGATTTCAAAAACTACTATTTTTCGTATTTCAAAAAGTTTAAATAATGTCAGAAAAACTCAAAATTTTATTGAATTATTCATTATTTGTTATTAAGCGAAAAAGTTTTAAGCCAGGCTTCTTTTCTAAAAAACTCGATTTAAAAGTCTCAGTAGATGCAATACTCTAAACATGTTAAATTACAATTCGTCACATGAAAATATTTCCTCTTTCTCATAAGAGCATTAAAGCCTTGCTTATAGTGACCGTTTGACTCACGCTGTCATCACTAGCCCCTTAACAACGTTCGAGACTCTTCTTCTCTTCTCCCGCTCTCGTGCGCTCCCACGCACACTGGCGCGAAAGACCCTACACCTACATCGCTGCACACAAACACGTCGACAACTGTCGGTTGAAGCGGCAGAGCTATCGCCAAGTAAATTCATTCGCGCATTTCACTCCGAATCGGACGAACCGGGCCGTGTTTGCTCTCCTGCTGCTCTGCTCTCGAGATCCGAGTCCCGATAAGGATTAAAAGCCAAATACAACCGAACGGTTCCTGCCGTCACAGTTTTAAAAAGTAAATAGAGTATTTATTAATATAATGGAACCGGGACAAATT